TTTTTTTTGTTTTTTGTTTTTTTCAGATACTAAAACAGTTAAACCAGCTGGTTTCTCTGGTCTATTTGCTGGAAATATCTTTTTCCAACCCTTCACCCTGAGTTAATATCCAATGTGTTTCTTGGATGCAGCAGAAGGATGGATCCTGTTTTCCCATCTATTTTGTTAGTCTGTGTCTTTTGAGGGAGGAAATTGATACCAGTAATATTGAGAGATAACAATGACCAACAATAGTTGATTCCTGATATATTGGTGGTGGTAGTGGTGGTGGTGGTGGTAGTGGCAGAGAGAGAGGGAGAGAGAGAGAGAGAGAGAGAGAGAGAGAGAGATTCCCTTCTTTTAATTTTGCTGATCTGAGCTCTGAGCTGTGTTTTCATGTGTATTCCCTGTTTTCATGCTTGTAGTTAACCTCCTTAGGTTCGGCTGGAGTTTTCCTTCTAGCATTTTCTGGAGGGCTGGATTTGTAGATAGATATTGCTTAAATTTGACTTTATCATGGAATATCTTATATTCTCCATCTATGATGACTGGAAGTTTTGCTGGGTGGAGTATTCTTCGCTGGCATCTGTGATCTCTTAGACTCTGTAGCATGTCTGTCCAAGCCCTTTTGATTTTTAGTCTCCATTGAGAAGTCAGGTATAATTCTAATAAGTCTGCTATTATACATTACTTGTTCTATCCCCCTTGTAGTTTTTAATGCTCTTTATGTGTATGTACATTAAGTGTTTTTATTATTACATGCCAAGGGGACTTTTTAATTTATTTGATATTATTTATTCCTCTTGTATCTTTATAGGCATATCCTTCTTTAGGTTAGAAATTTTTCTTCTATGGCTTTGGTGAAAATATTTTCTGGACCTTTGGGCTAGGTTTCTTATCGTTTCTCTAATTTTGTTATTCTTAGATTTGGTCTTTTCATAATGTCACAGATTTCCTGAATGTTTTGTGCCAGAAGTTTTGTATCCATTTCTTCTATTGTATCTTTGATGCCTGAGATTTTTTCTTCCACCTCTTGTATTCTGTTGGTGAATCTCTCCTCTGTAGTTCCTGCTCAAATTCCTAAATATTTTATTTCCAGAATTCCCTCAGTTTGGATTTTCTTTATTGATTCTACTTCCATTTTCAGGTCCTGAATAGTTTTATTCATTTCCTTCTACTGTTTCTTTGTGTTTTCCTGGATTTCTTCCAGGGATTTATTCATTTCCTCTTTAAAGACATCTATCCTCTTCATACAGACTGTTTTAAGGTCTTTTTCTTGCTTTACAGCTATGTTGGAATATTCAGGCCTGCTGTTGTAGCAGAGCTGGGCTCTAGTGGAGACACGTCGCCTTGACTGTTACTGTATGTTCTTGTAACATGAGGTTTTCTTGGCCCAGCTAAGTCCTGCTGCCCTTCTCTGCCCCAAAGAAACATACAGACACTTTATGAAGCTGTTGGCCAGTGACTATGGTTTCTTATTGGCTAACTCTGTCTTAATTATAAACCTATTTCCATAAATCTAAGTATTTCTACGTGGTCTTGTCTTACCAGAGAAAAGGTCCAAGCCTCTTACTCTGTTGGGATCTATATCTCATCTGCTCAGTGTATCCACAGAGAAGACAAGAGAGCGATTTCCTGTTTGTCCCTACTTATATCATGTTACTGACCAGCTATGTCACTTCCTGTCTATCCATACAAACCTCCAGACCTCTACCATTAGCTAGTGGCAGTTTCTGCTCAGCTATCTCACTTTCTGGGATCACATGACAACTCCTCTCGGCCTATACTTCCCAGAATACTCCTTGTCTTTTAGTTCTGCATTCATCCTGCCTGGCCAATCAGTGTTTTATTCATCAGCCAAAAACAAACATATACACAGAAGAACACTCCCCATCATGTTCCTATGCTCATGTCTGGGCAGCTGGGATTCAGATGAATGTAGTCTAGTGCTGATTTCTGGATCAGTTGTAGTTTGATGGATGGTTTGTTTCTTGGCTTCTGTTTCCTCTCTGAATTTTCAGAGAGTGTGATGGCTGTGTGTTGCCTGGTATGAAGTTTTCTGTGGCCCTGTTTCGCTGGCCTCCTCAGCTGGTGTGTTCCCAGGGAATGCCTGCTGCTGGTTTTGGAAACTAAGAAAATGGCAGGAGTTGGAGGAAGGAAGGTTGGAGAAGAAGGTCTTTGTGATCCATTAGAGATGGAATAGGGAGGAAAGGGAGATCACAGCAGGGGTTCTGCTATGAAGCTGGACATGAGACTGTGTGGATTGTGTCTGGAGGAACAGAAGCAGAGGTGAGGTTCTGCAGATAGCCTACCTGCTTCCCCGGCAAGAGTGGCCTTTGGGTTAGTGTAAACAGATGTTTCCTGTCCCAAATGTCCAGTGTCAAATAACCACTCTGAAGCTTATATTAATCATAAATGCTCAGTCAATAGCTCAGGCTTGTTACTAGCTAACTTGTACACTTAAATTAACCCATACTATTTATACTCTGCCAAGTGGTTCATGGCTTGCTACCTCGGGTTTTACATGTCCTGCTTGCTCAGTTGCCAGCTGGCATCTCTCTCACTCTGCCCTTCTTCTTCCCATCATCCTTAGTTTGGTCACCCCACCTATACTTCTTGCCTGGCTACTGGCCAATCAGCATTTTATTGTACAAGCTTGAGTGACAAATCTTTACAGTGTACAAGAGCATTATTCCACAGCAGGTTAGCAGGATCTGCTTGCTGGGAATGCAGGTGGAATAAAGACTAAATGATTTTTTAAGATTTATTTTGTAGTATGTTATAGCTTTGTATGTGTGGTTGTGTGCATGTGTAAGTGTAGTGCTTACAGAGTCCAGAAGAGAGCATCACACTCCCTGGAGCTAGAGTTACAGACAATTGTGAGCCACTCACTGTCATCTCTGTAATTAGGTGGATTGTCGGATGCCATTGTTGTGACAATTGGTCATTGGCCCACTTACTTTCTCATGATTAATAAAACAGATTCCTAAAGTGGGATCCGTGGGGATCAAGGCCTCCAGTGTCTTGATGAAAAGATCACAGAATTGTTAAGCAGGCTTCCTGGTTTTCAGTTTTCTATTAGGTCTGTGACCTGGGTAACTTGCTTGTTTTCTGTACTATTTTTCAAATGCTGACTAATAAACACTTTTCTATCAACTTCACAGTTTAAAGATAATTTTGCAAGAAAGATGGGTCTAGTGGCACAGGCCTTGAAACCTTCAGTTCCTCGGGACACTGAGGCAGGAGGATTGCCTAGTTCAAGGCCAGCCTGAGCAGTTATTGAGAGCCTGTCTCAGAAGTGAAAAGAGGGCAGGAAATGGATGCATCACTGTGGTAGAGCACTTGCCTGGCAAGAGAAAGTCCCCGGGTTAGTTTCCTAAATCTGTGCACTGTACTGTGATCATATTCACACAATCACACTCTCTAATGACCTGCACTCCTGCTGACCCCTTCTTCCCAACTCTTCTCTCTTCCACGTGTGTGTGTGTGTGTGTGTGTGTGTGTGTGTGTGTGTGTGTGTGTGTGTGTTTGTGGGTGTGTGGGTGGTTGTCGTGCCTGTGTGCACTTGAGGGCACATGCAGGGGGAGGGATGACACATGCACACACAGCTTATACAGCTCGCCACAGATGCTGCTGGGTGTTCATGATTGCATGGGCCATATCAGGCCAGAAAACAGTGTTTCCTTCTGACTCTTACAGTCCTTCCTTCATTCTTTCCTTCCTTCCTTTCTCTCTTTCCCATTCTTCCATCTTTCCTTCATCTCTCTTTCTTCATTCCTTCTTTCTTCCTTCCATTCTTTCATTTATTTTTAGGAGAGAGCACAAATGCAGTTCCCTACTGCCTCAAATTATACAGTCAAGTTTCCTGCATTTGCAGAAAATCTCGGGGGTCAGCACATCCAGAGTGCAACAGATAAGTCTTACCCTGGGAAAACCACCTTCATGATCACAGTATCACCCCTGCCAGTTAAGTATATAGGCTCTTACAGTCCTTCTGCCCCCTTCTGTGATGCCCCTAGAACTTTGTAAAGGGGTATTATTGGTGCCTTGTTCAGGTTAGACACTCAATGGACACTTCTTCTCAGCATGCTGACCAGTTATGAGTTTCTGCATCAACTGCCACCCTCTGAAAATGTTTTCTGAGGACAATGAAATGGCTCAGCAGTTGCTGTTTTCACAGAGAACCACAGGTTGGCTCCCAGCACCTAGGTCAGGTAGCTCACAACTGCCTGTAACTCTAGCTCCAGAGGATCTGATGCCCTCTGCTGGCCTCCATGGAAACTACACATCTATACAAAAGTAAAAAATAAAATAAACTTTTAAATAAGTTTCTCTGATCAAAGATGAAATACACACTGAGAGGCAGTTTGGTTCCATGTCTGTCTAGCAAAAGCAATCTTTTCAAAGATGTCTTTGAGAAGTTAATGAAATCTTTGTGGTTACAAATTATTAGTAGGTATATATTCTTGTCTACTTTAAACAAGAGTTTCTTCAAAAACAGCTAGCCTTGATGACTGGGTTTGGTTTGTCTTTGTTTAAAGTACATCCATTTCTTGGAGTAAATGAATCTGAGAGATAAGTCTCATGTCTGCCCCTGGCTGCACTTTGCCTCTGTCTATATACACAGTATTATAGAGTTCTCCATAGAGAGCTCTAGAATATTGAAACAGGAATGTTTTCCCTATGCAACCAAGAAGCTTTTCTCCCCAAATAGTGGTTTTGTTCTAAATTTGGTCAGCTGGCCAGACTTCCTGGGCATCAGCAGTACCCGAGGCCCTGGCGGAGGCATAGCCAGCCTCTCTAGCTCACTGGGCAATCACATCCCTTTGTAATGAGCACTTACTTGTTGTCCCACAATCCACCAATTTCACCCTTGAGTTCCTCTACTCCTCTCTGGTGAATGCCATCTGCTCCTGGTGATTTATCTACATTTAGTTTGTCAATTATGTAGAAAATCACTCACAAATCAAAAACTACTGCCTTGTTGGTCTCCAGAACAGTCTGGAAGAGGAGGCACCTTTAGAGCATCACATAGGAATGCAGAACCTGAGCTTTTTGAAGAAACCTCATTCTCTATATCAGATTCACGGACTTAAGGAACAATGACAGAGCACCTACTATGTGTCTTCTAGAATATTCTGTTGTGAAATAATCTTTTTGTGCACTGTGAAGATGTGTCACTCTGATTGGTTTAATAAAAAGCTAAGTGGCCAATAGCTAGGCAGCATTTTGGGGGCAGAGAGAATGCTCAGAAGAAGAAGGTAGAGATGCTGAGAGATGAAGAACAAGCAAGACAGGCAGGAAGAGATAACAGCCATGAGCCACATGGCAGCACAAAGACTGATAGAAATGGGTTAGTAAGGTGATAAGAGCTACGCAGGAACAACCCTAAGCTATAGGCCAAGCTTTCATAATTCATATCAAGTCTCCATGTCATTATTGGAGAGCCAATGGTCCTGCCTACAATATTCTTAAGAAGGAAGGAAGGAAAGATGGCAGGACTGCTGTGCCCTGGGGCAGATTGCAGGAGTTCAGTGACCCTGTGATGAGAATTCAGGGAGAAATGGCGGGATCTATGGGAAGTTCTGTTGCTGTTTAAGGGATTGCTGCAAGCAGCCCTCAGGGAAAGGAAACTCATCCCAACCCCATGGATAGGCTTGTCCTGTGTCTTTGGGGGTCCCTTCCTATAGCATGGTAAAAAAATCCCTGCCCTGTTGAAATTCTGGGCTCTCTACATATTTGCTTTCAGACACCAAATGTGAGCCAGAGAAACCCCACTGCTTCCAGGCAAGTTTTCTGGGCCAGCACTCCTTTTAGAGACACTGAATCTGATACTGTTGGCTTCCTCTGTCAACCTGGCTCATAAGATGAAGACTGCTTAGAGCAGAGAGGCTCAAGTGGGTAGCTGGAAAGTCCAGCAAACAGGACGTAATATGTGTTTACAACCACCAGAACAGCCCAATTGGACATATAGCATTATGGGGAAATAAACCTCAGTGTAAGCCATGTACATTTCAGGACTATTTGTTACAGCAACATTTATAATTCATGCTGACTGACACATTGGTGAGTGCTTCTGAAGTGAGACAAATCAGGAAAGGTCAAGGGTAAGAAGTCAGCTGTACAGATGGTCTTGAGTGGAATAGGATAACTCAGAAGGATTTGACTAGCTAAAAGATGGGCTGGAAATTACAGGGAGAGTAGTTAGACCTTGCTTGTGGACCCCATGAACCCCTGAAGCCAAATCCCCTTTGCTTTAGTTTTTCTCCTTTATAAAATGCAGTTGATAAAGGAGCACCTGGTTACAGGGTTGTTGTTAGGTCTGAATGAATTACCCAGGCGCATTACCCACGTATGCTTAGCTCAGCACCCTGGCCACAGCAGATCCTCAGGGTGCAGTAGCCACCTCCATCTTTCTAACACTGCTATCCTTCAGAGACAGTCCTGAGCTCTTCAGGGGGCTCAGCACTCACTGGAGACCCTCATCACTGACTGCATCCAGCCAGGGAGAAGGCATGTTCTGAAAGCCATGGGCATGGGTGGCCAAAAACAGGCGTCTAATTCACATGTAAGCCAAAACAGTTGTTAGTAAATTAAACATTGATTGTAAATGAGTCTCCAGTTAAGACTCACTAATTACACCTCCAACTCGATTGTCATGCAAAAATATAAAATTACCCCAGAACAAATATTTAATTACTTTCCTGGTAATAAGTTGAACTAATATTGTTCATCAAGCTGGTAGATGGGAATGTGGAAACATTTAATTGATGCAAAGATGGGAAATCAGAAAATTAATGAGACAATGGCCATGTTGTCTTGTCTACCATTGTGACATGGCTTCAATGGTGATGAGAGGGGATCAGGAGAGGGAAGCCCTTCTTGTCTATGATGGTGGAGGCAGTGGTGGCTGGAAGACACCTGTAGGGGGGGGATTTCCCTGGAACACATGGTCTTCTGGAGAGGCTGAGGCTGTGCCATTGCTTGGCCCTGCACCATGGCTCAACTTCTCCCTCCTCCCATCCTTCTCCAATGGTGCCCTCTGGAAAATTCTAACTATAACTGGAAAGCGACAGGATCTGGCTCACCCATTAGCAGACAGAGGCTGAAGGGGGGTTAGATGCCAGGGCTAACCTTGGTGCTTTCTGATTCACAGATGCTCTGTCAAATGGGGAAGAAAAGAACACAGTGAGGGCCCCACAGGAGGAAGCCTTGAGACTCCAGGAAAAGAGCAAGCAGGAAGGGCTGGGGTAGGGGCTGCCCTGACTGAAGGCAGCTGGTCCTGCCTTGCCTGTTGCCTGCGATGGCTCTAGGTTTTTCTTTTGGGAGACGCCACGTCCTTCAGCACCCAGAAACAGCTCTGTAAGATGAAAGTCTGGAAAGACTGTGACGTCCAACTCATCATTTAAGAGAGAAAAACAATACTAGGGTGATGGCTACTGTTGATGACAGAGAGGTGACTCAGGGGTAAAGAGGAAAGACCTCCTGTTCCTCACAGGACAGTTGGGTTCCCAGCACCCACATCAGCCAGCTCACAATTGTAACCAAAGAATCTGGGGCCTCTTCTGGCTTTCACAGCACTTGTCTGCATGTGCACACATACAGACCCCACCACTCAGACACACTCACACACACATACACACCCCACCACTCACACACACCCACACACACATGCACACCCACTACTCACACACACTCACACACACACACACACACACACACACACACACACGCATACCCTAACGCTCACACCCTACCACTCACACACACATACACACACACACATGCACACCCACCACTCACACACACACACTCAGACACACATGCACACCCCACCACTCACACACACTTGCATATACATAATTTAAAAACAAATAAACAGGAGCTGGAGAGATGGTCAGTGGTTGACAGCAATAGCCACAGGCTTGTGTCAGTGACTTGGAAATCCCCCTCGGGTGCATGCACAGCCAGGTAGGGAAACAGAAGGCTAGCTCAGTCAAAGGATGAGACAACCCCAAAAAGCTGGACGGAGCTAATGCATTCAGAAAGGACTCCACCCCAGATGTGGCCTTCGCATCTGCAGGCACCAATTCTCCCTACCCAATAGGCTCGGCATGTCCTGAGCTCAGGCCTACAAAGCCACCTCTTCATTGCTGAAGACAGGTCTTGGCAAAGATGAAGAAAGTAATCCAGAGTGAGAAGGGCTCAGTAAAGCCAGGATCTAGAGAGGTCTCAAATGCATGGAGGACCTCACTGAAGAGCTTGTTCAGACTCAGCTGTCATCCACGACAATCTGTGGATCAGATGGTTTTAGTCTCATTTACTTCAAGTTGCCAGGCTCCGGGTCTTTCTGCTTTGAAAAGTGGGGTGTTCTGGCTTCAGACACCAGGTCCCGAGAGGGGACCCTCATGCCCCATCCCCTCTTAAGCTCCCTGGGAACCTGGAGTTAAGCTGTTACAGAACCTTTGTGAGCTGGGACAAGCTGGCCTACAGCACGAGCCACACAGGGTGTGGACTGCAATGTGTCTTCATCTGGAGAGAATTAAATGGGCTTGAGGATTGGAGCAGTGGATGGTCATTAAGACTCCTGCATGGAGTCTCCTCCCCTCTGTATCTTCAGACCTCCTTCCCTGACATCATGTCAGAGCTTTGTCTTAGGCAAGACTGAGGAAAGGCAGCCACTCCTTGTACAGTGGTGTAACTCCTTGTTGAGAATCAGAGCGGCTACCCTAGATTGAAGGAAATATCCTGGGAGCCAGCCTGCACTGCAGGTTTGCCTTCATCCTCCTTTCCTGTTTTTCCTTCAGTCTACTGAGGCAGAGGCTGTCAGGGCTGTTAGTCAGGCAGCCCTGGTGTCTTCTCTCTACCTACACCTTCCAAAGACCAAATGAACACTTTTTGAAATTCGTAGAAATCTGCCCTTTACTGATTCTCGGGCTGAGATCTCCAAGTTAAGGTGAATTTGTTGAGAGTGC